CCAGGCGGCCAGCGCTCGCGGGCCCAGGCGGCCCGGCTCGACCCGAGCACCGCGGCGGCGCAGCAGCGGGAGCACTGGAGAAGCAGCCGCAGTCTCGAGACATCCCCCCGCGTCCCCCCGCTGCCCGCCCCAGGCTCAGTGTATGGGGCCGCGGCCCGCCAACCTTCGCTGAGACCGTCCCCGGGGTGCGGTGGCCTCGGGCTCCAGAGCCCGCCCCGCCACCCGAGGGCTGCGCGCGGCCCCGGGCCTGCTCGCCGCGCGGCTACGCGCGTCCCGGGCCAGGAAGTGGCGGCGCCGAGCACCATGGCCCACTCCCCGGTGCAGTCGGGCCTGCCGGGCATGCAGGTAGGCTGGGGCGGCCGAGTCGGACTGCGGCCGGGGCGGAAGCGGGCAACTTGGCGATGTCAACACGCCCTCCCTCCCCCCAACACGCCGGGCCCGTTTCTCCAGGATCTTCACCGACTCGGGCGCCGGGGATCTCGTGTGTGTGCACGTGGAGGGGCCGTGGGTTCTTCGGCCTGGGGCCAAGGTGGGGTGCAGGAGCTTTGCGCTCCCCAACTCCGACGCGCAGGCCGAGCGCCCATCCGGGGCAGGAGTCTGAACTAGTGTCCTTGGAGGCCCCGCTTGGGTGCCTGGGCCCTGTGTGGGCCTGGGACGGGGACAGCGGGACTCCGGGGTCCTCAGTCCCCAAGAGTCCTCCCCCAGAGCCCCCCAGGCGGGAGACCCTAATGCCGGGCGGGGAGCGCGCCCCGGCTGGTCCCAGTCCGGGCGGGCCGCAGGGCGGGGTGCAGGAAGGTGTAACCTCGCGTCGGAGCCTGTAGTTCTGGTGCGGAAAGTGCGAGGTTGCAAACCCGGGAGGCGGAACCCACACCTCCGCGAGCGCCCTGGCGTGCAGAGCCCAGGTTCACTCCTCGGGTGCCTGGACTCCGCGGCTGGACTTTCACTTTGAGACTCGTTGGCATCCAGAGGAGCTGTGTGCTAGCCGACTTCTCCGTGCACACTTTGTTATCTTCTTAGCCTGCCAGTGACTTTTTCTTTGGAGGGGAAGGGGGCGGTGAGGGGAGGGAGGGAGTTGAATTTCAAGTTTACATGGATGCACGAACATTTTTTTTTTTTTTTTTTTTTGCTATTGAGGATGGCTTTCTGTACTTTAAAAAACAATCACTTGTCTGTTCTTAACTTGTAAAGTTTGTGAGCGTATAAACTTAGACAAAATGATTGCGATTAAGACCGCAAGACTAGTCAAAGTTTTGCCTTCCCAAGCAAGTGAACGAAAGAGTTTTGCTTAAAAAAAATAAACAAGACAGAACACCACAGAATATCCAAGAAGATTATCAGTTATAGATGCAGCAGGCGCCTTCTCTCTGACTCCAGGGTTGAGCTGCACGGGCCTTGCCTTTTACTGCTTCTTCCTCTTCTGAAAGTATTTCCCATCCCTCTTTATTTTTTTTTTCATACCATGAGAAGGAAAATTGATTTCTTTGTCCAGGTTTGAACTCTGGAAAAATAGGAATTCAAAATTACCACTTTAGTGGCCACTAGAACTTGAGTCATTTTTATTTTTAAGGAATAATAAAGTTGGGACTGAGTGTCATTGGAACGGTGCTCTCGAAGGATTCTTGAGTCTCACCTTGAATGCTCTGTAAAACCTGATGCTGCTGGCCACGAGTTGTCACGAGAAGTCAGCTGTGGCCTCCTGCAACTCTTGCCTTGGTTTGACTTTAGAGGCAAGACATCAGGGTCAACCGGGTGAGAGTTTCTTAGCTGTACAGTGAGAAGGAACTCTTGGCACATTAAAGGCACGTTTCTCCATGTTTTATTTATTTTGCCTGCTATAGTGACTTACCGGGCTCCATCCCTGTTGCCCCACTAGCCCCAACCTTTGTAAGAGAAAGTGTTTGAAAAGGTACTTAATGTGTGTGTGTGTGTGGGGGGGTCGGTGCCAGGTGGTTCCCAGCTGGCATCTGCTCTTTCAGTTTGATGGTTTGTTTTAAAAAGTGGGCCAAAAATTCTTCATTTTGGGAAAAGGAAAAAGTCAATAACTTTACTTAAAAAGTGTTCCTGAAAGGGAGCTGTTTTAATCTTCTCGGTATGAAGACGATAACCGTTTTTTTCAGTATTATTATTTTTTGTTTGTTCTGGTCCGGCCGAGGAGGAAAAGTGGCTTCCCACAGTCTTATCTGCCCCTGTGTATGTCTTCAAACCGCACGATAAACTTTTGGTGTATCATTGGAGACTGTTTCTTTCCTTCCCTTCCCTCCAGAAAAGAAAACCCAGCACGTTTATTTTCAACTTGGAGTCCCTGGGAGCTTGTGAGGATTACAGGAAAGGCACACCTGGCCTTGACTCTTGTCTAGGATAAAGTGGAGAGGAAGAGGCATTCCCATTGCCACAGTTCTTATGATCTCCCTGCCGAATCCTGACGAGGATTTAGGAGGAACTGGGTTAAATGCTTTGGCAAGTGGGGTGTGGTAGTGTCTATCTACTCGGGAGGTGGAGGCAGGTGGATCTCAGTCAGTTCAAGGCTACCTTAGAGAGTTCTAGGCCAGCCAAAGTTAATACTGAGTCCCTGCCTCAGAAGAACTGAACAAAGTTTGGCAAGGCAGCGGAGCAGATTCAGACAGCCTGAGGGAAATAAGCTGAATTCAGGAATGCTTTAGTATAAAGACTTTACGGCCTGCTAATCACTTTATATCTGTTGGTTATTACTGAGACTGATGGAGGAAGAGATTATTTATACTGTTTTATAGCTTTGTGAATGAGAAGGGATTTGAATGGACCAAGTAAGGTAGCATATTGGATGACACACAGTGATTAGAACCCAGTCTTCACCCCTTCACACCTTTGTAAATGTTACACATCATTTTGTTTTAGAGAGAGAAATATAAGATGATCTTTTTTTTTTTTAAACTGTGACAACTCTAGTGATCTTTGGTGTGGAGTTGAGGGCTGTACACCTGACTGGATGAGGTTTTTCTGGGAATTTTCTTTCCTCTTTGAGTTTTGTAGTCTGTGAGAAAATTAGAAAGACCTGGCTGGGTGCCTTTAGTTCCAGGACACATAGGCAGGCAGATCTTGGAGTTCGAAGCCAGCCTGGTCTATGGAGTGAGTTCCACGACACCTAGGGCTACACAGAGAAACCCTGTCTTGATTTGTCTTGTTTTTGTTTTTTAAGACAGAATTTCTCTGTATAGCCTTGGCTGTCCTGGAACTCACTCTGTAGACTAAGCTGTCCTTGAACTCAGAAATCTGCCTGCCTCTGCCTCCCAAGTGCTGGGATTAAAGGCGTGAGCCACCACTGCCTGGAGAAACCCTGTTCTGAAAAAGGAAAAAAAGAAAAAGACATTCTGAGCTGAACACAGTAGATGAGCATGGCTGTTAAGTATTTCCTGCCTTCTTCATGAACATTCGCTGGTTTGCACTGTTGGTTCCAGTGAGAAGAAAAAGTTAAGTTGGAGGCAGGAAGGACCTATTTAGTGCTTTGAGTTTGCTTTAAATCATGGTGCAAAAGAGTTAGCTTTATGCAAGCCAGGCAGTGGTGTCTCAGACCTTATTCCTACCACTAGAGAGGCAGAGGCAGGTAGATCTCTGAGTTCGAGGCTAGCTTGGTCTACATAGCTAGTTCTAGGATGGTTAGGGCTACATAAAGAAACCCTGTCTGGGTTGGAGGGAACTAAAGAAAGAAAGAGCCTTTTGCTTATAGAATTCTTTGGTAAAAAAGTATTTCATATGCATATATGTGTGTAGCCTGAGGTACCCATGTGTAGGGGTCCTGGGTGGTTAGAAGGGGCGCCACAGGAACCAGACTCCAGTCCTCTGCAGCAGTCCACCTCTGCGGGCCGTAAGTTACTGTTACAGAATTCTGCTAGCCATTTTTATAGCCTTTCTGGGCAGTGACCCTTGTAAGACAGAGACTTTGCATCGGGACCAGAAATTAAAGCTTCAGACCATAGCACTGTTTCTTATTCCTTGCAAGTCACTACTGAAATATTGAATGTTTAAAAAAACAAAACCAAAACAACAACAAAAAAAACACCCAGTGCTTGTGACATTGAATTGGTTCCACAGCCCACTCATTGGTTCACGGCTCCAAGTTTCAAATATACTAAGTTAGGTAAGTCACATGTGTCAGAAGGCTGGAGTTAATTCAGCATGTCTCAAGGCTCTGAATTTAAGAGACCCTCGTGTTTGCAAGTATAGATAATTTAAAGGTGCAGCTAAGCAAACTTAGATTTTACTTGCTCTTGGTTTTATACCCTGCTCTCTTTCCCTTTCTTCAGCTCCTAGGCTGCAAGCCCCAGCTGTGAGGCGGCTTGTGTACTGGGTAGCCAGGAAGGTGCTCACTATGACGAGCACATTAGAAATCTGGGAAATCAGACATCAAGCCCATTGTAGTTATTCCTGCTCTGGCTGCCCACCCCTTTGTGTGGCATATGTCCATAGGGTGTTGTGTACTGTCTAGTCTCCCTCTTCCCTCCCTGCTTCCTTGGGAGATACCTGCTCTTGTTGGAACTATACTCTGGGGTGGTGGTGGTGGTGGTGGTGGGTGTCTAAGTGGCCTTTCAGTAAAGTTGGGAGGCCTGTGTACCAAGAACATCTCAAGCGAGGCTGAACACAAATGCACCTTCTGGTCATGATGTAGACAGTGAGTCTCAGAGGATGATATCAAGATTCAGGTCCCTGGGCTCAAATGGTCAGGAGCTCTTGCAGGGCAGGCCCTGAGGGGTTCCAGTAACTGGGGCCCAGGAGACCAGGTGCATGTTTGGAAAGCACCAGGTTTCTGTAGGATGGAGAGACAGAGTGTCTATGGGCCTGCTGGGCCTGAGACCTGGAGACTGGGTTGGATATTTTGTTCTTTGGGTTGTGTGTGTTCTCAGGCATAGGTGATGGGGAAAGTGGGCTCTGGATGTCTACCTAGAAGATATTGGAGTATTTGAGCAGGCGATGCCAGGGCAGGGAGTGGTAGGGACTCAAGGGTTCCTGGTCAGCCAAGACAGCCCTGTAGGATTTTCACAGACCTCAGTGGCTTGAATTCTGTGACTCCTGTGTGGCCTGTCATGTACTTTGCTTTATTTTGCTGTCTTGCGCTATGCAAAATAATTGAGGAAAGTCGGGTGTGTTTTTCTGTTACTTAAGTCTTTTTCTCCCCAGGACAAGCAAGTTCTTCATGCTGTCCAGACTAGCTTTGAACTTCTGATCCTCCTGCTTCTACCTCCCTAGTGGTTGGATCACATATCTGGTTGGTTTATACAGTGCTGAGGAATCCAGTTCTTGGCTTCATGAATGGTTGGCTGGCACTTGACCAACTCAGCTGCCATACAGCCTTGCCTCTCTAAGTCATTTTG